TAAAAATGTGGAAGAGCCCGGAGAGGGAATATATGTGAATGAACAAGGTAAATACGCCGCGCCATGACTTCTGTCCTAACTCAAGGTCTCTGGAAACCATGAGCTAACTTAACCTACAATAGTATACCTGTTCGTCATCGTCTAGCCTAGTAACCAGGGTAAGCCTGACTACCGACTGACATCGAATCAGCCCAGTTTCCCCAGTTACTACATGACCAATCTCAATCAAGTCTAGACAGCCGCGGGGTTCGAGGCCGCTGGAACTTGGCTCGGGTCAGATTCAGAACGATATCACGCTCTCCGCATGGTACCAAACTCTCATGGCCAAGACACTGTTAGTTGCCGAGGTATATTTTCTCATGGGCTTCTTCTGCAAGGGACATCCCGGGCCAGTTCCAACTCTTGAGCGTACACTACTACGAGTTTGAGCAGGTTGATAGTCTTCTGCGCGGGAGAGTTGCACGTGCCTCCCCCGTTGGTACGGATACACGTATAGCACCAGCACCGATGTAGTATTACCGTACTTCCATCTCTATTTAGCTCCTTAGACAAAGTCTTGGACGATCGTGCACTGGACTGGGAGCCCGTGTGACCACTGACCGTCTTTTTGTTCTAAAGTCGTAGGGTTGGATGTTCATCTCGGAGATCTACCTTCCCGGATTTCTCGAACGGGTTAGGTGATATATGGTTGTCCCGGTCTGCAACCCGGACCACAGTACGACACCACCAACGACTAATGTGGGGGTACAACCTGGTTACAACTTACAATTCTCCCTTGGAAAGAGGATGTGAGTTTAGTTGACTTCTTTTTGAGACAGATAGGCTGGCCCGAGAAGTTGGGTCTGGAATGCCTGGGTGTTTGCTGTCACATCACCACAAAACCGTACACGTACGCTTGGGGTCATAGCCCTTACCATAGACTCTGGATATGATCCAAGTTCCATGGCACCTCACGAGCCAAGAATCAAGATGTCGGAGTCACTTGACATGGCCCAGAGGCCAGGGAGGATATTCGCAACGAGCAAGAACATTGTGAAATGACGCAATGGCAAGCACTGATACGGGGCGCTGGGTCACCGTTACGACGACCGATCGTGGGCCATGACCCCGACTGATCACCTTCCTACTCGGGTGTTGATACCATGGCGACCGGGCTTAAAAAAGATACTTTTACGTACATGATTGCGAGACTACCCGAGGGCAGTTTATGGAACACAATGGCTCACTCGTGACAGTTGAGCTTCTTCAAGACGCTCAATAACATGGCTGATATCCTGAACTGTACCAGATGTGGCATGTTGATACTAGTATTGTAGAAAGGGAAGGACGACAGAAGCTAATAGAGAAATCATGTTCTGCGCTTCGGCACGGCGAGGACCATCGAAGACAGTTGGAGGGTCACTTTTTGGTACTATCGAGCGAGTAATACGTATATTTGCTGACTCGGATCTTCATTCGCATCTTGAACGCTCTCGGGTTATCCGCATGTTGAAGAACATGGTAAGAAACACATTCTAGTCGCGTGAAACTTTCAACCAAGAAAGGAGGCAAATTCCTCGTCCCCAAAGTTCTTTGAAGCAGACTGTTATGTTCTCGCTATGGCTAGCGATTGCGCGAAGTGAGGACCGGCAGAACAATCGTCTTGTATCACAAAGGACAAAGAGACCTCTATCAGCAAACAGCCTCAGAAATAGATGTCCAAGACGTTATTCAGGGGTAAAGTCCATTGTTAGCAGACAAAGAACTTTCAGGTACCGTCGTCCCGTAACGTTGTGCTGAAAGAGAGGCAACCATACACCCCTCGAGTCAATGAAGAACCATCTTCGTTGTTCCATCGTGCCTTGAGTCCCTTGACATATGTGTGGGATACAGTACAGTAACAGTATGACGGATTAAAGAATAGACTCAGAAGGAAGGTCTGACGGAACTTGCCGAACGGCGCAACCAAGAGAATGCTGAAGCCAGCAAAGATGTTATTCTTGACGGTGGCGAGAAGGAACAGAATCGCAATGTCCATTGAGTGCTCATTAATGACCCTTGTGATGCTGAATACGCCCCAAATGAACGTATTTGAACAACTCAGATCCGAAAACGCGACTTGGTCTCACCTTCCCCTTCATACCATCGGTATTATACCTAGATATTCCACGTAACTATCCAGATTTCTAGATAGAACGATTGTTCACCATCCGAACAGAACAGCAAACATGATAGCCAGCACCATCACACCAATCCTCTTCGGGCTCGCCGCCCTCAGCGGTACCGTCTTGGCCGACACCAAGAACATCCACGGGGGCTTCGTCTCCATGTGCGCGCCCGAGACCATCAAGCTGTGCTCAAGTCAAGCCGACCTAGCGGCAGACAAGATCTCCCTCTGCGCCTCGTGCTACAACGACAATACCAAGACGCTAAACAAGAACACGGCAAGCAAGCTGGACCTCAACCACTGTCTGACCAACTTCAACGGGCAGTTGAGCTGGAGGAACAACGGCGCGTTTGCCAGAGCAGGCTGCAGCAAATGTACGACAAAGCTCGCCTCCCCCTTCGTGCTGAACCTCCAGTGCGAGTGCAGCGGGCCAGACAATACTATCGTCCAACCCATCGAGACACCCATCATCAACCTGAACGAGGGGGTCCACGTCCACAACGGCCAGCTGGTGTGCTTTGAGGAGGAGGGAACACAGGTCTTTGCCTCCACCCTCGGACGTCGTGAGAGAATCTCAGCACGAGAATACAAGCCGGTTAGGGAGAACCCTGCGTTCTACCCAGGTCCCCGCAACCATACATTCTAGGCTAGGCTTCCTTCATTCAGAGTCCTGCTGAGAAACCTTTGATCATTCGTCTGATGAACTCAAAACCAAGACGAGAGACGTTCCAGGGTTGTAGGCGTTGTGGCCGAAGGCATTCGTGGCTTCTCATACTAGTGTTATAAAAGTATTGCAGACCTTTTTCCTTTTAAAATCTCACTCATCGCTTCTTGATTCCATGTGATCTTTTGCTCCATTTAGCCCTTTTCGAACCTTCAGTGGATCCCATTCGGTTGTCTAGTAACCCGTAACAGATGTTTTGACAACTTGAAGGCCCCGTCCTTGGCTTCTTTTCGAACCTCGGTTTTGGCTCATGCTGTGAACATTGTAGGTTGCTTTGAAGATCCAACTCCCACCCCTAAGTTGAAGGATCAAGTGGCCACCTTAAGCTAGATCGCCCCCTTGGTACCTGCTGTAGTGGCAACCTTGACCGTCGCTCCTGATAGAATTCTTCCCGTCCATGCGTCCGATTGTCTTGAATTAGTCCTGATCCACAGCAAATCGAAAAAGAATTTGGGACCTTCTCTGGCTTGGATCTTGGGCAAAGTCTCTAATAGTCAGCCTGGCGGTCGTATCTTGCTGTTTAGTTATATCTCCAAACTTATTGCTGTTTGAAGTACGAAGATTAACCCAAAGGTGATAACCGCACATTTTATCCATGGCACACTAATCATTTTTGCCTCATTCGGTCCTGAAGTGGCTGAATCAGCTTCTTAATGCTTCTTGTCTGCTGGTGTTACCAACCATCTCGGACTTGGAGAGTCGAGGTCAAGGATGTGCGCGGCTCAGCCCCCTCTAGCTCGACACCGCATTGCAACGTGTAAGCAATTAGGACCATATCATCAAAAGTGCGAGCCCGCCCACTGCGAATTCACGAATGAGAACCTCGGGCATGAATGTTTTCTGTACGCAATCTCGCATGCACGTGGAAAAGGTCACAATACTCTTTGTCTTCCACCACACTTGTGGCCCCAACGTCGTATTGGTGACCTTGATATAGGAGCATCAGGCGACAACATAAATCCTTTCCTTCAACTGATCCTTCTCAAACCGAGGATATAAGACACTCTTCCCAGACACGATTCACAACATTCTTCTCAGCACCGACTTTCAACAACAACCAGATAATTCCCATCTCACCTTCAAACAATTCACCATGCGCACCTCTGCTCTCTTCTCCGCCGTCTTCGGCTTCACAGCTGTCAACGCCCTCATCGCGGACCTAGGCGTGCCCAAGATCATCAAATCCGGCCAGAAATTCAACATCACCGGCCACCAGACCATTGGCCAGGGATACCGCGAGACAATGGTCTGGTTCGGCATCCAAGAGCCCTCCAGCTACCCCTACGGCCCAGGCGACATGGGTTCCATCTTTGCCGGTCCTTTTGATCTCGGTAAGTAGTATATCTTTCACCGACGAAACTCCCGGATTCCACGAGTAAATTCCTAATATTTCGCACGTCAATAGCCCAATTCGCGGGTCAGGGGTATAACCTCACCATCCCCAACGTCTCGTTTAGCAGCTCAGTCAAAGGACCCGCAACCATTACCGCGGTAGTGATGGGAAATGCAGGCCTGTTCCAGCGGCTCTCGCTGGGAACTATCAACGTCGCAACTCAGATTGGTGACTCTACTAGCAAAGAGTACAATTATTCCAACGGGAAGGGCCCTGTCTGCAACTGGGCGTAATGGGTAGTAGCCGGGTTATCTAGGTTCACAGATTCGGCTGTCGGGCATGTTTTCTGGAAAGGGCACCAATAACTGCTTACACTTCACATTCCTTTGTTGCATCTGCATTGTCTACGTTTGGTTTATAGAATATGCGCATACCATGTAACTCTCATTTCCAGCAATAGTTCAATCGTAATTACAACTGGACAAAGCGACCCAGTAGTTTATGTCAAAGGTCACTAAAACAATGGCTGTGCCCTGTAACCTGAACAGATCTTGCTCAAAACTCCAAAGATGTCTCCATCACGTGCTTTTCTTTTCTCCAAAGTAGGTCCTGCCGGGCGGAAAAATAAAAAAAGCAAAGTCCATGTGGCGCCAGCACCGACAGCAGCAAGCACCAGTTTAAGAAAACACAAAAACTGTTCAAGCCACAACCAACTTTATTCTTTTCTCCTTGTCCCCAAAATCTGGTACCGTCATTTTCAGAGCTTGGTTTGCAGATAACTCACAGTCGGATTACAAGGTTGTGTAGTGTAGTGGTTATCACTCTGGATTTTGAACGCGTTGATTCATGACCTTTCCAGTAACCCCGGTTCGAACCCGGGCACGACCTATCTCTTTGACAATTTTGAAGCCCAGTCATACCACACTTTTATTAGGCGGTGGCATGTTCCTTTTTCCCCTTTTTTCCTTTTTTCTTCTTGTACGATAATTTGTCTTGGTGTTGGTTTCTGAGGCCACTGGCTTTTACCCTTTTCTCTTCGAAGCTCATCGCAAGCAAGAAACAGTAAGGTGATATGCCAATTTCAGCGGCGATACGGTTATGGCAGTGGTTCCAGGCTTATCGCCCCTTGCCAAGATATTAAATCTCCTTTTCAGCCAAAGATTCTTCTGCGAGGGCAAGCCACATCTCGGCATTGACCTTGGCATGCAGAGAAGTTATGAAATGTATCGAATCGAGACCTCAGGATGACGTCAAATATTGCGGCTGAGGAGACGTTGGTTCAATACCAAGCCAGATAACCAGCCAAATAAGAAAGAGCCCCTTGGCTCAAAAGCGGCTGATAATAAAGTATTGAAGCAGGGATAGTTCCCCTATTTCTTTTTCTGATGAGGCCCGAATGCGCGTTTTCTACATATAGGACGAGTTAGACACTTTGTGTTTTGTGATCTCGTAATTCCGAGTACATATATGGTCCTGACCTTCAGTTTGCGAGAACATAAAAGGAGAGAGACACAGTTCCTCGGAGAGTTTGGCATATCAGCTCCCTTGTTCTGCTGTTCATCACTCGTCTTCGGTGCTCAAAATGTCTTCCGCAGCGGGAGTTTACAAAGGCAGATGGACAGACCGGGAACATGGAAGTGTATTGGGCATGAGAGTTACTCTGTCGTCCTCGAGCGGCCAGATCTTACTCGCGGCTATCGCCCTCTTTGTGGGAATCTGCGGTCTCCAGTCCTGGTCAGTTTGCAGGCTGGTGCTCCACCAGATGAGGCCGAAGGACAAAGCTGGCCACGAACACCCTGAGGTTGCCGGCAGTGGTGGTACCAGTTATGCTATCCCTGCATCTGGACACACTGTGTCGGCAAATCGAGATAGTCTCGACCAAGGTGCCGAATTTGGTGTCGAGGAGGTCCATGCCACAGGTGCACCCCCTTCAACCAGCACGAGTCCCGGGAAGGCCATGGCTGACAACGAGGATATCCAATTCACACTCCGCAACTCGTCGGCCTTTGACGCTGCGTCACAAATCTCAAAGGTTTTGATATCCAGGCTCTATCACTCCTGGCGGCAGCCCCAATCATTCCCTGCCCCCTTAGAAAGCCATTCCCAGTCGCCGGTTAGTCAGCCATGGGCAATCTCGATTATCCTAATCGCCCTGCTGAACCTCAGTCTCTGGCCCATCGCAGCCCTGTTCTCATCTCAGATCGCCCGCGCCGACTACCCTGTCTTGGTCTCAAGCCCGAACTGCGGACACTACATCGACATGGACATAAACAGCAGTGACACGCAAAGGATATTCTCCCTGGCACATCGTATAAACACCCGCGAGGCCGGCTTGACCAGAACAGCGGATGAGTACATTCAGACTTGTCACTCCTTTTCTCAGACGGCCGGCCAGAATGACTCAACAAGTTACTCGAACTCACCTCTCTGCCGACAGTTCACGACTGTAATGGTTCCCTGGCAGTCGGACACTAACGCGTCTTGCCCGTTTGAACAAAAGATGTGTCTAATTGGTGCGGCATTCGGGATGGACACGGGGTATCTCGACTCGCACGACGTCTTTGGGATCAACACACCTCCAGACCAGCGCATCCTGTATCGACGAAAGACTGTCTGCTCGCCACTCATCGAGGATGAACCTGGCCATGTTGGAAGGAGACGTGGAATTGAACCCGGCGAGGAAATGATATTGTATTACTACGGGGGTGATGACAGCACCATTGAAGTCACGTTTCGGGTCTCGACGTATGCTCAGCGGTCTCCGTCGGGATATACAATCAGGTAAATATCTAAAGATCATCTGGCCAACAATTTTCCGTCCACGCAAAATTCGTCATACAAGGACGGTTCAACATGACAAGTACTGATAAGCCTGGCATCGTACACAGGAGCAAGTCCGGCCTGGAGAATCTTAAACCCGAGCTTGCCCGTCCCGACGCCGACGTGGCACTGTTCCTTGTCGTCCCAGGCCAAATAGGCTATCTCGGCCCGGTAAACGATCCCGTGTTTTCGGCCAATCGACCGGCAGGTACCACCGGCGATGCCGCAACAGTTTACTTGCCCGACAGCATCGCATCGGTGGTGGCGTGCGCAGACCAACATCAGATATGCAACCACCCAAACCCTGGGCCCGAAGGGATAATGCGCTGCACACCTTTCAATTCACGGGCTGGCATCATGCGCCTTTATCCCACCATGGCAGACATTGGGCTGAACGACATGCAGCGTGGCATAACCTACACATTCCTGCACACCATCCGGGCAACAGACATGTCCTACTCTGTGGCGGGCAGAGACGCAGAATCACTCCTCGCGAGCCGAACTCTGTTTGACGGTGTGAATGTGCAGTTGCCTGACAACCAGTGGACTGCCGAAGTGAGCAACTGGTTCAGTATCGGCATGGTGCGGCTCCAGCTCGCGCTGCTGGAGTATGTCACTGGTCCAGCGGCAGATCTCATCCACAGGGATGAACAAGAGATGGATGGCTCTGCAACACTTACAAGGCTTGATGGACTCGAGAGGATATATGAGAACACTTGTTTGCTGCAAAAGGTTGGGCAGTTTCATCTTGGCGAGGATTATTTGACGTTCAATGTTTTGGGCTTGGTGTTGATCGTTGCCCTCGGGGGGCTCATCGTCGTTTCAGGGCTGATGCTTGAGGTGCTGGTTGAACGACTACCCAGGCGTGGATGGGGCTGGAAGAAGAGAGAGGTATGGATCCAACAAGACCGGCTCGTGACTTGGAGAAAACTGAAAGAACAAAAAAGGACTGCATGGGGGATTAAAGTTTCCTCCTGGTCTGAAGAAAGCAAGGGTTGGCTGAAAGAATCATGAGACAGTGAGAGATTTTCCGGCAGTGGAGAGTTGAAAGCCAATTTCATGTAAGCAGGGGCGGGAAGCTGAAGTCTTCAAACTCTAGTAGATAGCCGTTCCAATGGTGGAGATCTGCTCTTGCATGACAGCCTTCGAATTGTGGCTGCGCACTGAACTCTTTTTTTTCTTTTTTTTTTTTTTCATTTCCTTGTTTCTTTCTTTTCCCTTCGAAGGAATGACGTGTCAAAGACATGCCAATTTGATGCGTTTCTCTAGATGGTACTTGAACATCATATTCGGCCTCTAATGTCAACACGTGCATCATGTCTTACAAGGCTCTGTGTCAGCATCTCATCAAATCTATCACCAAGTGCAGTCCAAATTTGCTGTCCTTCTTGTCCCAAGTTTTGCATTTCTCTCCAGGGGACGAAAGGTTAAAATCAGGACAAAAGTTATCAAGAAAGAGAGTTTGATCAGGCCAGTTGTCACTTTCACCTGTGAGGCGCAAAACACAACCATATCGGTCCTCCACTGGTCCTTTTTTCCAGATTGGCTTGCCTGTGCATTAGCCAGGATTCATGCCGTGCATCATATTCTCGTCACAGGCAAAAGTATGGTTCACATGTGCCATGCCAATTCAAGGAAAGAATCGTGAAGCTGCAGTTCAATCTCAGATGCAAGAATTATGCTGGCAATAAACTCTGAGTTTGATGTGCGATGGGACCAAAAACTGGGTTTTAAAGTTCAAATACGGTCATCTGTTTGGATGTGCCGGCGAAAGAAAGGCATTTAAAGTCTCTCTCTTCCCTTTCTCTTCCCACTTTTTTCCTCTCCTTCTAGCTCATCTCAATTTCTCTTCTTGCTCACTTCTCTCCTCGACCAACAGCACAAACCATAAAACCAAAAGAAATCCTAGCTATGGCCGACCGAGCCGAGGACCAGACCGAAGACCACGAGGACGAGATCTTGCCTGAGTGGATGTTAGTCCCGGAGATCCGTCGCCGGATACAATCTCGACACACACGCCCTATCCTTGACTGGATGATAGGGCAATCCGAGAGCATCCAGAAGACCCTTGAAGACCTCAAAGAGGAGTCTGAAAGGTGTCTCAATTGTCTCGATCGAGAACAAGCGAGAGAAAAAAAACCCAGACACAGAGCCTGCCGAACGGACACAGATCAACAACAACCCCAACAACAACCCCAGCAACAACCCCAACAACAACCCCAGCAACAACTCCAGCAACAACCCCAGCAACTCGACGATTGCCTCGACTCTGATGCCATGCCCGGGGATTCCGCAGACATGGACCAAGACTTCTCGGAGGACCCTCAGTCTCAGGGTCACTATTATCGCTTGACAGACCTAGAGACCATGACAGACAAGATTGAAGGTTTGCAGTTAGGGATGAAGAACTTTCGGCAAGCGACAATCGAGGTGGCTGTGATGCGGCATTCACTCCGAACCCATGCGCATCTTTATTCTGATCAGGATATCTTTTTCCAATACTTTTTGGCGGTTATACTGCCGGCTCTGAACGAGCTCGCCCGCGAAGACTATTCTACATCTGAGGGATATCACATGGCTATGGTGCGAAACGGAATGCGGGATTCCACTTCCATAGTATGGGATTCGCTCTATACGTCCCAATTGCAAGCCCGCACGGAGATGGGATACTTTGGTGGAGCAAGGCATATGCTTGCTCTTCCCAAGTTCACGGCCGATGAGTTGCGACCACTTTAGCCAAATGTGCTCCCAGGGATGGGGGGCTAATCTGAGCCCAAGCAGGAAGGGGGGTATGCTGCCTTGACTGCGCAACTCTCAGTCCAGTCGAATCCAGTCAGTCCAGTCGAATCCAGTCAATCCAGTCAATCCAGTCAGTCCAGTCAGTCCAGTCAGTCCAGTCAGTCCAGTCAGTCCAGTCAGTCCAGTCAGTCCAGTCAGTCCAGTCAGTCCAGTCAGTCCAGTTAATCCAGTCAATCCAACAATTACAGTCGAAGCAAGTCAATCCAATTATTATAGTTGAAGCTAGTTAATCCAGTCAGTCTATTTATTACCTAGCTAGGCCAATTATT